AAAGCTCAACATCTGGGGAGACCGTATTGTGCTCTCCAACTTCTGCGATGAATATTCTCACTGTCCTGCAAGAATCCAGATCTGGAACTGGCAAGAGAAACAGGACTTCAAGGTACGATCAGTACGCGTTTATTTGAGCGATTGCACTTACCATCTGATTATAGTGTATCTATCGGGAACAGGAACCATACGACAAGATGGATGACTGCTGTATCGTGAACCGAGATCACTTGATCGTATCATCTAGAATGAGCGGCCGCCTACCATGCAGACTGAGCATCTTCTCATTTTCTGACCTTGGGAAACCCCCAGTCCGCATAGCAGAGTGTGTCCTACCCTTTCAACCAGAAGCAACATTCCTACGGCATTCTTCATTTGTTACTATCAGCCCGGATATCCGTCGTTCTATGACTTCTCAGGACATACGCTTCTATCCGGACGCTGAAAATCAGCTCATCGCTCTCAATGTTGACGGTCCACCCAGCCTTGTCTTCATCATCGATACATACAAACTCCTCGCTGCTTGCCAAAGTGGCATACATACTGAGGGTCAGAGCCACGTTTTGCCCTGGAAGGAATGGGGTCCAAACTGTTCGCGATGTATTGTAGACCCCGTGCCTAACAACCTTTTCGTCCTGCGATTAGACGTCGCCGGTGGTAGAGCAATCCACGCTACCCCAAATGATGACGACTGCACATCTTATAGCCTGCGCACGTACGACTTCAACAAGTATCGCATTTCGCGTGCTGCAGCTTCTAAAGACTTTCGTGGCAGCATTATTACAGAACCATCGACAGTCAAACACCGACAACTCAATGAAGACATTATAACAAGCCTTCCTTACATGGTGGTTGTGGACGAGGATAGCATCGAGACGGCCACGAACATGATAGATGTTACTTTCGATGACGAAAACATTTTGATCATCAAGGTTTGTAAATCTTATCTGTTTGAGTATGCGAGGCTGAGATACCACACAGAGCTCCGAGCGGGATGAAAACGAATTTGTGATCGACGTTGCCAAGCCCTCTTCTAGATCTATGGCTGCATGAGGAAAATAGGATGTGCATGGAATTGTAGAATCTATGTCGTTAAGAAGATTGCGAGGCTGCGTCGAACTGATATTGGATGTCATGTTATTGAGATTGGTTTACTCCTGTCCAGCATATTCTGTACAATAAATTCTGAGTTGTTCAGAGTTCCATAGAGTTGTGACCAGTGGCCTTAAAGCTTAAACAACAATGGTGGTGGGCAAGTGGTTGGTACCGGTAATTGTCTGAGCTACATCCCACATCAAGTCTCACGCAAGACAAGGCAGTGACATCCCACGCGGGTGCAGCTATATATATGTTTGGAACCGGGTGCAAGCAACTGGTATTTAGTACTCATTTCAACTCACTCTTCCACAAGCAACATGCCTCCAGCTCCCTCAACTGCCGTGCGTCGCAACTCTGATATCAAGTATCTAATTGTATTGATAGCATTACAGATGACTGTAAAGCGCATCCATAGGGAAGTCGCAGATGCCAAGAAAGAGGACCTAGGCTCCATCACCCTCGCACCCTCCACCGACAACCTCTTTCGCTGGACAGGTACCATACCTGGACCTCAAGGGAGTCCGTATGAAGGCGGCGTATTCAATATTAATATTCAGCTGGCGAACGACTATCCGTGAGCACCCTCCATACCCAAACTGGCGTGTTCAAGCTTCACAAATCATTTTTGTGATAGTTTCTCAGCGCCAAAGGTCACCTTTGTAACCCGGATATATCACATGAATATATCGGACAAGGGCAACATTTGCATTGATATTCTCAAACAGAACTGGTCACCTGCGTTGTCGCTCTTTAAGGTCATGCTCTCACTCTCATCCCTCCTTACCGACCCTAATCCGCGTAAGTACTATTTTTTATCTCGATCCTTTCATTGTACCTTCTGTACTTGTCTTGGACTCACATACTTCACCCTGTATGTTTATCTCGGCTGACCGATGTTCTTTGTTCTTAGAAGATCCTCTCGGTAAGCTCCCTCATCCAAGGCTCATGTCCTATTTTTCTGAACTACGATCGGTTTGTGTGCACACAGTTCCTTCGATCGCAACCGAATATGTCCGGAATCGCGTGCAGCACGACCGCACAGCCCGGAGGTGGACAGAGCTGTATGCCCGATCACCTGCATCTGTGCCTGCACCGTCACCCATTGCATCCACATCTACGTCCTCTGCCCGGGTCAATACACCCACATCTACATCTACATCTACATCTACATCTACATCTACATCTACATCCACGCCCACGATCTCAACTTCTACAACTCAGGCTTCTGGATCACGTAAGGGCAAATCCCGTACCTCAACCAGTCAACCTGCGCATGGCTCTAGCTCGTCGAATGTTCTCGCCGAGACGATTGACATCTCTGACTCCGATGACGAGTTATCCCGACCACCGCCCACGCGCAAACGTCCACGCGGCACTCCCAATGAGGTGGACATCGATCTTGTGGAGGCGGAGCAACGTGCAGCCAGACGCCGGCGCACAGGTGGCGGTGGGAGTATGGTTCCGAGTGTTTCTAGAGGCTCTAGAGGAAGTGGGACTATTGTGGGAGCTGGTGAAGTCATCATCATCGATGATTAGTCCAATAGGAGGGCTCATCACGAAATTGGAAAACTGCCTCGCAAATAACAACTATCAAGCACCTTCGGGCGTTTACTACCATGCATTACAATAAGAGAGGTCTGTAAGTAAGGTTGTGTGCCATTCCCACAACAAAGAGTCAGACTCGGTGGAGTAGTAGGCACCGCCAGGGCATTGCAATGTTGACAACGACGATTTCAAGTTGGTGGTAGGGGAGGCCGTTGTCACAGTAGAGCCCACCAGGGTGGAAGTATGTATTGTAATTGTGGACGTGGGGGAGGGTCCAATGTTACATGAGGCGAAGCGGAAGGAAATAGCGATAATGTTGAAGATAAGGAGCCTGTCACGGTGGAACTACATTCAGCTCACCGGGTTCAAGACTTGGAATAAACTCTCAGCTGTACTTCAAGTTTGGATACTTTTTCTTGTTTGCACACCATGGACGTCAGTGACTTACGCTGCAGAACTTGAACTGCAACGTCGACGTCAACGGCTTTTTTGGCACATTCGTATTCGTCCCTGTTGTGAACAGCACCTTCATCTTGAAAAGGCCTACCGTGACGATGAGCAAGGGTCATTTGAATTACGATCTCGTACTTCAATAGTGATACGTGCAAATGTAGATGTTTCGCCCTGTAATGTTAACAGCAATAACAACATGGGAGCCAACGTATCTCAAATAACCTGTACCTAACCTCATCCGCACGACCAATTCCCTCGCGACGCCCCACATCCTCCTTTTGCAGCACCGCCAGCTTCATTTCCCCACCACATCCTTCATTTCTCGGAAAGCCACATCCTCCGTCTGGAAATGCATCATCCACAGTTTCCCACAAGCCTTCGTGCCTCCCCGACGAACGCATTGCGATAATCAACCAAAACACCCCTCCCTTCTTCAACGCTTTCTCCACGCAATTTTTGATCCACTTGGCATGCTCAGGGTGATACACCACGTCTGCACCAAGGATAACATCGTAGGGCTCGAGTGGAGGTGGTTTGGACCAGTCCAATGACTCGATTTGAACGGAGACATTATTGGTCTTCACATTCTGCAGTAAGTTATCGAGGACCGCAGAGTGATAGTCTGTTGCCATGATTGTGGCATCGACTCCCATGCGATCGAGAAGTCGTGCGGTAGTGATGCTGAGAAGTCCCGTGCCTGCACCTAGTTCAAGAACGCGCAAGGGAGTAACCCCTTGTGGGATGCTCATATACTGAGCAGGGTTCGTACAGATGCGTTCAGCGAAAATGATGGCGCTTGCCCAACTTTGCAGACCAACGGAAGTATGATCCGTGGCTGTGAGTGGAGCATCATTCAGCTCGATCATGATGGGCTCGCCTCCAGCACCAAAAGGAAACATAAATTGTCGCGTGAGAGCATCTTCTTGCTGCTCATCATCACTGGAAAAACGTGCAAGAAGCTTGCTTGCTTCCTCTATAACGACTAGACGTATGTGGTCTTCTTCTGGAGCGATATCGAGTACGTGCGTCCATATATCGGATCGCTTTATGAGGCCTGTAAGCCATTTGATAGAAAAACTTCGTTCAAGCTCGTTGGAACGCAGGACATCAGGGTCCAAGTCTTCAGCATCGCTTTCCAAATCTCCTTCCATTTCTGCCTCGTCGTCTTCAGAGGCATAACCGGAATCCGGGACGCCATCGCTATGATTTAAGCGTCCCGTCCGCTTTGGGCGAGGTACGTGTACCGTATCAGATATGTCCTGCTTCAGTGCAGGTACAGCATTTATTGGCAGCGTCCTCTTCGGAGGAAGTGCTGCGGCGAAGTAAAGATCCTTCAAGTCTTGCAGGGCATCTTGTATAGAGGCGGTGGTATGGGTGGAAAGTATAGAGAGTGGTGGAAGAAAGGAAGTTGGAGCGCGGAAGCAGGTCATGATTTGTTCGTCTGGATAGGATATATGTATGGTACACGTTGGATAGATGTCGATTATAGCGAAATCGCCCGATTAACGAAACCTTGATAGACAGTCTAGTAGGGGTATTGGTGCACTGAGTCTATGTGCACAATGAGATCTATATCCGAGTCGCCCTAGTATGATCCCAGAGAAGATGGCGTGAAACTTCTATGTGTCTATGTTAGCTGAAAAAAAAACGATGTTAGTCTCTAAAAACAACGCAGACTCTTTATAAGCTAGAGCCTGCGCTGCTATTGAACAAGGAGCATTGGGGACAGCATGGTGAGAAACATCAAGTAGGAAGAAAGAGCAACTTCCAAACAACTTTCACGTTGTTTGGGCAAGTTTTGATGATCATGGAAGATAAGATAAGATCTTACTAAGATAACAATTGGGTTGTTGCATTCGAGTCGTCAACCTTACAACAAGCTTCCATATATATATTCAGTTCAAATGGATGTTCAGTCCAGGGAACTCACAGTGACTTACAAAATTGTCCCACCGCCATCTGCGGTAGCTCCTCCTTCCCTCTCGCAGGAGACAACTCATAGGTTCCCTATCCCATCTCTACCTGACTTGGAATCTCAGGAGGACTCGGAGCTAAAGAAATATTATACATCTCTGCGAACGTCGATTGCAGAAGCTCGAACAAAACTCGGAGAAGAGTTGACTGCTTGGAGGGATGCGGTAGGAAATGCAGAACTTGGAAAAGAAAAATCTGTAAAAACCGAAGTCGACGATGAAGGAGAGGAAGAGGAGAACACAGAGGAATGACATTAGACACTGGGGATCATACATGTGGTCCTCCGTGAGCGAAGGTATATTCAATTCTCGTCTACTGCGATTTATCTTCCCAAATGCTTACTCCAACTGCAGATTCCAGTCTTGAACATAGCGTACAGTTGCAGTACAGCGCACGTCTTAGACAAGTTTTGAACATGATCGTCACAGAAACAATCACGCCTTCCCCTTCCGCCTCAATAATTCCTCTTCCTCGGTTCTGCATCTGCCTTGGCTCCTTTGGAGGGCTCATTCCCATGGGAAGTGGCTGGTCCAAGAAGACTGATGTTAGGGTCTGCGAGGAGGAATGTAGATTCTTTGCTACGCGAGTTCTTGATGGCAGCGGCAGCGAGTTTATTGCCTATGCTCCGTTCGTCTCTGTTTATCAGTTGTAAATTTCGGAGCAGTGCCTGAAGAGTAGGATCATACTCGAAATCGATATCCTGGTGTACGTGTTCTCGTCCCTCATCATACTTCTGTGTCTGGTTTCTTGTCTGATTGTTTCGATGTTCTGCTGAACCTCGTCAAACGGAGAAGGGAGCGTTCAGACAGACGCCATCATGACATCAAGGACTTTTTTAAAATGTTTAGCCGACCAGTCGACGAGTTCCGTCTGGACTCTGCAGACACATAGCCTTAAGTCGACGAAGTAAGATGCGAGTCCGTATTTATCAGGACGAGCGCAAAAGTTGCTAACTAGTAACTACTACTGGTGCGAGGCCCTTGCGTCATGCGACAATCTGCAGAACGATATACCTGGCGTGAAGGCTGTGATTATTCATGAGTTGGGAATTGCTGCTGTGAATATTCAGTTGGATAATAAGAAAATGCCAGATTCACATTTGACAACCTACTAGTACTATTCGTTTGGCAAAACACACGGCCCTTGACTCTCACATCATTCACGATGTTTGTCGTCCGAGACAGAAACAATGCTACCGGTGAGTAGCCGATATAGCCAAGATGCGATAAGGACTCGAAAACGAAAAGAAGGGACGGTGGCGACGACACCCGTGGGGTGTCGAAGGTGCCTGCCTCTCAAGATGCAGCACTCGGAAGGTTAACGTTATGTAATCTCCGATGGGAACAGGTGGTGTGGCCCATGCGGGAGGCCTGGACAATTCTAAAATGTCGTTGTCAATGTCGATCGACTTGATCTTACGGCCGTACGACCGTCCTCTCTTACGCGGACCCTAAACCTTTCCTGATTTAGCCGCTACCGTGTCGGTCAAACTTTCGCATGGGAAACATTCTACACCTTTAGTCTACTAGATGTCTGTTTTGCTCGGGCTAGTTTTTTGACCGATACAGTGGTGGCCAAATCAGGAAAGGGTCCGCATAACTAATTTACGAGAGTGACGGCCGTACGGAAGTCGATCGACACCGTGGTCGCTCCCGCATGGGCCACACCACCTGTTCCCATGGGGGATTACCATTTTATCACCCTGTTCAATATCCAGTACAGTTGCTCGATGTGCTATGATGTTGGAGAGGTATACATGTACACGATGTGAATGAAGGATTTGTGTTGCACGCAAACAACCATTAGCGGCACGACCGGCACCTGCTAAAATTCAAACTCCGTGCTCCGCCTGCTAAATTTCTCCGAGATCGACCAGCAAGCCAGGCTGGTCACGAGCCTAATTGACAACCGAGTCTGGACCAAGCCAGCTTTACATACCACGCGCTTCTAAGATTACGTGTCGCGTCCTCGACAAGACAGGCCTCTGGTATCTTAGGCTCCTGACTGGTCTGACCTATACACTAGTACTGCGGACAAGTTGAGCAGCGAACTGTTATGCATGTTTTCAAGTGATGTATACTTATTATAGGTGAGGCTCTTATTGAACCCTCCTGCTCCAGCAGCTTGCACAAAATTGGTGCTATGTCTTGGGCATTTTATCCAAAGACCACCTGACCCAAATCTCGGAAACATCTTTCCCACAAGACCGTCGCAAGAATTGTGCTCCGAGGGGACTCAGGGGAGGATACAACGCGTTTATGTGATAGGACTTTTTAGACGCACGCCTTGTCAATGTCTTGTCACACTGACTTACATTTCTTCTCAGATAAGGCCACTGGTCCACAAGACTAGTGTTATTGCTGCCTCATCTTGGCCTCATCTGTCGAAAATAGCCTAGGATACTTCGTATAAAAGCCCAGCATTCTCTGCTTTTTCCTTTGTCAATTCTTCTCCTCACTATCGAATCATCGTACTACTCGCGACCTACATCTTATACAATGCCCTTTTCCATCGATGGAGTGTATACTATCGAAAACGTTGGCAGAGACCTCATGCTTGATCTGAAGGGCGGTGATACCATTGAAGGCAACCAGATTCAAGGCTACGCAAACAATAACACCGCGGCTCAACAGGTATCTATATGCGTTTGCACCCGCCTTGTGACTAGTTCTTACACATCACATCTACCAGTGGGTGATCAAGAAACAGTACGCGTCAGAGTCCTCCAACAAGACTGTCACCATTCAGTCCATTATCAACGGCAACAATGGAAATGGATTCTTTGCTGCTGTGAACCAGGTATGCTAAATCGGCATTCATTCATTTGCTTGTTGGTTGATGTAGACGTGGGCAGGATGCGGATGAACCAGTCGTTTACACCAGGCAGGCGTTTATCGTTGATCTCGTTCCACACGCGGATAATACTTATACGTGAGAATCCGACTCAGTGCTCAGCAACTTATTTTTGCTAATTTAACGACTCAAATCTACAGCATTAGATACACTCTCGGGGACGCGAACCTGGTGTTATCCATTCCTGCGAGGCACACTGAAGTAAGTTGTTGGATTTTTTCCAAAACTTTTTGCTCATAACGTACGTTCACAGGTGACACTCGAGACTTACTCCCCAGGATCTCTCCGCCAGCAGTGGCAATTGCACCGCGTCTCCAATCTCCAATAAATTGCCTAGTTTTCGCCACTAGGTACCACCGTGAGCTTGCAGAGGCATGCCGACGCTGAGCTATTCAAAGTGTTTTTGCATCTATGTACTACGTTTTGCTGTGTCTCTTGTTGTGTATGCCTACGTTGATGAATAGGATTGCTTTGGTCTGACTCCCTTAGGGATATAAGTGAGGTAGAACATAGCTATCGGCAAATCATTCGAGGAGGGTACGCAGATCAAGCGCAGTATATGTGTACCTCCCATTATCGTTTCACCCATTTACATGTACTAGTATGTCTTCAGACAGTCCATCAAAGAACTCAGGAAATTTTCAGATAGTCATGTATAACAATACATAGTACGCAATCACAAGCATGTGCATAATTCTGCGATGATGTATCACATAGTCATATTTGACTTTACAGAGGAAATGCGAGTTTCTAATCTTGCAATAAAAGCGTAAAATTAGCACGCATGGCGTGTTGATCGCCACACTCTCTGGCTGATAATTGATCAGCTGTACTGTACAGAGCATCGGTCCTCTCTCCCGTTTCATAGCAGCGGTGGAAGATAACCCGCACCAAACCAGCCTTTCCCGAACAGGAACCCCGTTTGCGATGACGCAATGCCTTGCGGCCTACAGTCCACTGTACCCTGACGACTTGCTAAAGCTCGCAAGAAAAGCAGTCACAAACCATGCGGCTCTGAAGGTGCTTCAAGAGCGACTTCTGGCTTCGTCGTGACATCAAGGACTTTTTTTAACGTTTAGCTGACCAGTCGACGAGTCCCGTCTGCAGACAAATAATATCGATCAAGACCGACAAGTCACGCTCGCACTCGCCAATGCCAATGAGGTCTGGCGCCGGCCTGGTTATGCGAGGAAATTGCTGGAATGCTACAAGTAACCTGAGTGTGTCGTTGAAGTGTTCAACCAAAGGCTGTTGATGGAAAGTTGTCTTGATTGTACTCGAAAGTCTGGCAAAGTAATCCACTGATGGCATCTTCTGAGAGTACATGAAAATCGGTGAGCACAGTAGTTCCGCGGCCATTAATGTTATTATCCAGTTAAATACATACACTGGTATTATGCGTGGTTACAAGGAAGAGATGTTTGTATGAACCACCGGCCTGCTTTCAACTCCTAGAGAAAGCGGGAGAAAAAGCAAAAGCACTAAGATGTGCAAGCGTTTGTGTCCGCCCTACTTTGGCGCAGACCAGCGTGATCGATAAGCCTGGTCTGCAATTTGACTTGAGTGCGTTTGAAGAAAAGACAACAAAATTTTCCAACTTGATCTCAAGCGACACGCATCACGTGACGTTTTACCGTGTTCCTCCAACAAGAAGTTGAATCAATTTTACGCTGATGAGTCACACACTGAGTGATAAGGTAAGCGGAGGCCCCTAGATTAATGCTCGGGGGTGTAAGTCGGATTTTATTGCGAACCGAGAGACTGAAGCAGTATACGACACGGCAGTACAAAGCCAAGTACTCGCGTGAACCCTTCTGGAGCTATGACTATACTGGCAATTATTAAGTTGGTTTCAAAATAGGTCGCTATCGCGTGGAACATAGACTCACGACATACTCAAATGAACATATCCGCATCTCACAACCACCAACAAAACAAAACAAAACAATCTCCCACTCACAAATAATTTCGCTCCACGACAAAAGTGTTGAGAGCCAATGAATCCGAGGAGTGTAAGGCTGAGAGAGACAGAGCCGAAGGGGAGAAGGAGAGTACGGCCGAAGAATGAACCACATTGAGTGCGAGTGTCTCCAAATGGAGAACATGGACAATGTGTCAATGTCGGCAATCTTTCCATTCTTAAGTATATATGTCTTCATCAAAAGTCTTGCTGGCACACTCACCGTATAAGAAGAGCCAGCATCAGCAAAACCCAAATGGGGTATGTGGCACTGCACATAGCCACACAGTGACACAGGGTTCACAGGGAAGTCCCCCCATGTGCAGCCGAGCCACAGCGTGTGCTTCGAATGTGTCATGCTGTGCAGTTCGGCACAGCTACTGCTGGACCGTACAACCCTGCACAACACTGTAGCGCTGTGTGACACTGTAGCGCTGTATGACACTGCGTAGTACAAACCTGCTATGTAGTGTTATACAGCGGCGTATGGTGTTTCATAGCAGTACTTTTAATATAGCAATTATTCTGAATTTTGCACGTGGATTAATACCAAAGTCAATGATGATTCTATTCAAATGATGCTGCAAAACATAGTAGTAGTAGTAGTACTAGTAAGTATATAAAACTAATCCAAATCAACGTCCCACTCAGAACAGCTGTCGTCACCTTCGTTAGTACCAAGGCCAGCGCCATGTGTGTTCCTAACTCGATGGTCAATATACTGCTACTTTTGTCGAAAAAGACTTACATGCCTTCCAATGCCCAAGCTTTGAGCATTTGATGTAGTTTCGGTCCGTGATACTCATCTCTGTTCGTGCGGTTGAACAACGTCGAAATGCGGTCATAGGCAATCTCTGAATCCTCGATGGGTGTCTGCTTGGTGCCATTTACCTGGCCATATTTGCTGTAGATATAAATCACGTTACGAATCTTAGTAGAAATCAGTAAACACACTGTGAGCATGCTACAGGAACACTCACGATAGTCCTGATGAGGAAGAGCGCTGGGGGCGGAATGATCTTCTGAAATTCGGCGAATTGCTTCAGTGATTTGGAACCGTTGTCATAAAATGACCTATGGCAAATGATGCAGACCATGAGATTCGCAAAGTTAGATGCACGGCCCTACTAAATATTTAGAATTGATTATCGAAGACGATGAAGAACATACCTCAGCATCAGGATGGCCGTGCAAATACATTGCTTTCTTTAGCAAAGCGGTTGCCTTGAGTTTGACACTATCAATTGTGTTCCCGCTGACGCTGAGTGCTAGATCATATGTCATCGGAACGACGGTAAGCACGATCTGCTTGATCTTGCTGCGGAATGTCGCGGCATCATTGAAAACCTGAATCCACACGACTTAGTGACATATGTGAGAACAGCTCAGAGTACCTACCACGGTAGCCATCCCCGGTTTGAACTCAGGGTAGAAACCTTTGTAGGCGTGTCAGTGGGTAGTAAGATTGTAGTTAGAGAAGGGGAAATACCTTTCTCAAGCTTGCGTTTCTGCTCTTGCCATTGTACAATTGCTTCTGCAATCATTTCACCACAGACTCCGGTATTACCGATGGACTCCTCTTTGTCGGGAAACGGGACGGAAATAGCGAGATGAAGTCTGAAATTAGCCTTTGCATGGTCAAGAAGTTTTTGCCAGAGTGGCGGGTAGAACCCAACATTAGTTGCATCGCGATTAGTAGCAGTACCCTTTACTTTCTTGGTGCGGCGGCGCTTCCCAGTATTCTTGACCTCATCAAGATCTTCCAAGTCGTCCTGCTGGTCATCAGAGTCATCACTTGACAGGGAGTTGCTCGTGCGAGCACGCTTAGTCTTTGGGCGGCGATTTCGTATGCTGTTCAAATACGATGGGGATGGAGAACATGGCCGCCGGTTTTTTGTGTGGTGAGCCTGGAGGACATCATAATCAATATTAGGCTGAAAAAGGTGTCAATACACAGTGACAAAATGGGTGAGTGCTTACAACTACTGCTGGAGCGCCTGAATGACCCGGAGCTTGTTGGTTAGTGCTCTGCAGGCTCGCTCGCATTGGCGCCTGAGCTACGTTGATGTTCTGGTCTCTACCCTTCCTGCTAGTGGTGCGATCGTTCCGATGATCACGGTCCATGTCGGCCACTCCCGTGTCGTCATAATCCTCGTCCTGCAAATATGCACCTCGATCAGGTACTTGCGCAGGGCGTCTGACTTGGTTGTTGCTAGGGTAGGTTTGATTATTGTGGTCTGAGGGGTCTGGCATGATGTCATCACTCCCGTGAACATCCTGCTCCGAGTCATAGTCCATATTGTCATTATCGATGTCGTCTCCTGCAAAATCTCCATCCTCGTTAGACACGTCATCCTCTTCAACGTCCACTTCTTCATCATGATCCGCCTCTTCGTTACCTTCTTCAGTTACATCAACAAACATGTTTTGGCTAGTGGAGGAACCAAAAGCAGGAGGAGTACGAGAAACGGTGTGATGGGGTGTTATGGTGGTCGATGGCTCACGCTGAACGGCAGAGTTGATGGGAATAGATGAGCCTGAGCATTGGTCGCTGACAGACCGAGGAACTTTGTGAGAAACAATATGAGTGTTGACAGACTGAGGAATGTCACGAGAAACAACGGGATGCTGGATGGCTGGAATTCTGATTCCATCAGCCTGAGTGTCACGAAGAGAGGTGCCATGAGAGATGCTGCGAGAAGCGCCACGAGAAGTACTGCGAGAAGCACCCTGAGAGGTACTGCGATCATGGACTCGGACGTAGGGCTGGGCAGGAGGTATCGTCAAGTCAGGCTGAAGTTCTGTTTGATGGGACTGGAGCGGTTTGGAACCGACATATGCTGAGGGAATTGGACGATCCTGAAATCCAAACCTTCCTTGGTCCGTGATGTGTAGAGCAAGTGTGGGACCTCTGGCAGTGGGGCCTGACTCGGATGCCTCCTGCTGAATACTAGATATTAGTGCTGAGAAATGAACCAGACCAGGCGGGTACTTACTATTACACTCAAGTTCCTCTCAAGCTGGCGAGGTGCCACTTTTCCTCTCCCCTTCTTCTTTGTCACTAGCGGAGCCATCACATTTTCGGGCTCATCAACGGGAACAACAACATTCCGAACCTTCGATTTGCCAGGTGCTCCGGCTGGAGTCTGGATAGCATTCCCGATCTTCTCTAGCTGAGAATTTCTTCCTCCAGTGCCAGCGCCAGGTCGGTTTGTACGGCGACAGGGAGCCTGAGGTTGGACTGACGTCGCTGGTTCATTGTCGTCGATGCCATCTGATTCGACAACTCATTGCTTTTTCTGTCGGCCCATGGTAGTGGCACACGACTAGACGAATGACAGAGAAATCGAACCTGCAAATCGAAGTTAAATGTGGCTGTACGATGTTTAATTACTAAGTACTAAGTAGTAGTAGTATCCGAGTCCGAGTCATACTGGTGCATTAACGTTACATACCAATCACATACTAGTACTAGTACACTTCAGCAGCTGACTCAGATGTAGTACTAGTAGTTACCTCCGTCCCTACTCAATGACAGCCCACTGCCCTAATTGTTTGAAACAATTTAAGAGTGCTCAGGCAGTTTTGCGACACCTGAGCCAGCCCCTTACATCCTGCCTACGATGGATTGATCAGCTTGAGAGTGCAGCGCAAATTTTGCAAAACTCACAGTTGATGGACCAGCACGCAACTCCTGACTCATCTGAGTCGTCATCTGACCCTCGTCATTCCAGAACACCAAGTCCTTTTCAAGATTCCCTAACGGGGGAAAAGGTGGATGCTCACTGCGGCATGAGTGACTCGGACTATTTCTACGGTGATGACGGAGGCACAGCGGGCTTGGAGAATGACCTGCCAGGGTCCGTTAAAGAGCCTTTGGGCAGCCAAGCTTCAGAGAAGCCTTACGTCGAGCACTTCAGGGATGCTGCGAAGGTATATCGGCGCGGCCAGACCTTTCTAGATAGGTTTAACATGGATCCCTATGCAGTACATCGCGAAGACAATTTGTACTATCCATTCGTGTCCCGTCAGGATTGGGAGCTCAGCAGTTTTCTCCTGTGCTCGTCATTAAGTATGGCAGCCATAGACGAGTTCCTGGGGCTGGAACTAGTACGTCTTGAGTTAGTGAGCGTGTTGCTGTCACAAGTGCTGATTTCTTCTAAGGTGAAAGCATTGCCCCTCTCCTTTCATACCGCCAAGGAGTTACGTGGGCGTTCTGAGCTGCTGCCTTCTGTTCTGAAGTGGCAGTACTGCGTCATCTCGACGACTCACCCAACAAAGAAGCCTCTACATCTTTACTGGCGTGATCCGTTGGATTGCATCGAATCGCTTTTTAGCCACCTGCTCTTTGCAAACAAAATAGATCTCACACCTCAACGTGTGTATGATACAGCGGAACATACAGTATGAATTTACAGTGAATGGGTGACGGGGGACACAGCATGGTCAATGCAGGTATGTACTCTACAGTATCAATGATCTTCAAGCTCATCTTGCTAACTCTCACACCCTGTCATAGTCACAACTTCTGGATGGTGCGACATTGTTAGGCATCATACTTTCCTCCGATAAAACCAACATTACCAACATGACTGGTGGACGTGTTGCTCACCCGCTCTTGATCAGCCTTGCCAATATCAAGATGGCGACTCGAAATAAGGCATCCTCACATGCTTTCCTCCTGACAGCGCTGCTTCCAATTGCGGAATTTTTGCATCTGGTGAAGCAGATGCAGAGTGTTCTCGAAGCCCGCTTGGTCCACCAATGTCTAGATATTGTGCTGGAGCTGCTCAAGCAAGCTGCACACATCGGGCAGATGATGTCAGACCCACTTGGAAACCTCAGATATTGTTTTACCCCCTTAGCCTCGTACATTGTCGATACACCCGAGGCATGCATGCTCGCATGTGTTCGAGGAAAGACTTTGCCAGTAACTATGGCTATGTCTGAAAATTTCGGAGACACCTTCCAACACCCCCCAGGCTCGAACAGCTAAAACAACTCTCAGCCAGCTTTCAAGCATCAATTGTGATCCCCTTGACGTTGAAGGCTACTTCAATGCATGTGCCACCTTCCGCCTGAGCGGTGTGGCCCAGCCATTCTGGCGTGATTGGCCACTTGCAGATCCATATCTGTTTTTGACTCCAGAATCCCTGCATCACTGGCACTGTGAGTTCCATGATCACGATGTTAAGTGGTGTCTTGCAGCTGTTGGCGAGCAGGAACTAGACTTTTGCTTCTCTGTTTTACAACCACTCACGATGTTCCGATGCTTCCATTGCGGTATTTCAAAGCTTAAACAAGTCACTGGAAGAGCCCAGCGTGACATGCAACATTATATTGTTGCTCTCATTGCAGATGCAGCCCCCCATGGCGTTGTCATAGCTATTCGCACGCTGATGGATTTTTGCTACTTATCACAGGCAACAACGATCAATCAAGAACATTGTCAAAAGATTCTTGGCGCCCTCGCGGAATTCCACGAACACAAGCAAGATATAATTGCTTGCGGCGTGCGTCGAGGTGCCAAGAGCAAACAGGTCCTCGACAACTGGCATATACCCAAACTGGAGTTGATGCAGAGTGTCGTGCCCAGTATATGTCAAGTCGGTTCTCTCTTGCAGTGGTCTGCCGACACCACCGAGTATGCTCACATCACCCTTATCAAGGATTCTGCAGATTCCACCAACAACATCAATTATGATGCTCAAATATGCCGGTTTCTTGATCGCCAAGAAAAGTGTTGAAACTTTCAGATCACGACATCAATAATCGCTCGGTCAGAATCACAATCACAACTTGAAGCCTCTGCTTCCTCGTCTCGAATGATGGACACTGATTCTGAACATCATGACTTGGATGAAGGTCCACTGGCATATATTGATGAAGCTCATTTGCAGACAGTTTTGGATGATCTCTGGGGGCCGAAGCGTGTTGTGACCAATTTTTTCAGAAAGGCAGAGCAAGTCTCTTTGGACATCAAAGCAGCCAGACCTCTCCGCACATTTGTGGTCGGTGCAACAGCAATTCACCTCAATTTTGATCCTTCCATATGATGCATACCAGTCGATGTCATTGCTGAAAAACTATCTCTACCCGACTTGCGGGGAGCACTCGCTGACTATATTCAACGAGAGGGTACTATGGCTCAGAAATTCCACTTGCTGGGAGGACAACACCGAGCACTGTCCCATGCACCTCTTCCATTTGACGACCTTATGGTCTGGTTCAAAGTGCGTGTGCAGCAGGCATCATACCATACCCCATCGATCATTCCTCCTGCTCTCACAGTCAATGCATCTCCCCCGAGCGCAACTTGGAAGCATGGCCACTACGGTGCTGCTATTTTCGCTGTTGATGACACCAGATGTGAACAATGGCCCACTAGTGGGCTTAAAGGTACGTTTTTCAAATGTTCATTTGTATATTATGTCCAAGTTTGACGTCTGAGCAACTTGCAGGCCATGCTGTTGTTGAGGTGCACCTTATCATGCAACCACTTCCTCCACAAGGAACTAGTAGTAGTGCCTCTTGGGCTGCGCATTTCCTTATGTATGTTCAACGGTTGGATGTCATGCCTCAGCGACATGGCAACTTACTAGAACACACAACGCAAGTGCATGTTTTAAAGTGTGCAATGCGATCAGCAGGGACTCCTTTTGGTGACATCCTCCCACTAGATCAACTTCGTTCTCTGGATCACATTATCCCCCGCTTTGGCCATGTTGCCGATTCACGTCTAACAGCGGAAAATAGTGCTCATTTTGCTCAGACGTTCTTCTTGAACAAATACATTGACAAGGACTTCTACTATGCTATCTCAAACTCCGAGCCGTAGTAGTTTTTTCAATTGTGTTAAAGTAATATATCTATATCAATGGTTCAAGAGCTCTATGCACTTGGTGTATGGCACTACATATCACTATACATTACTGTAGCATCATGGAATGTACGCTATCCTGCAAGGATCCGCTGTGTAGTGATGTACAGTGCTACCTCGGGCATGTGGCTTTCGGCTGACTAAATCCGACTGTCAGTGGGGCAGGCCCTGATTGGCAGGCCACTGGTTGTTGTCATCATACCTCTCTCTCAATGCCTGTGACCAGCACAATCATGACTCTTCCAGTTATTTATTCTAAGTTCTCAAAGAGTTCCAAGTCTTGGCTCCCAAAATCACCATCACACAACTTGATCTCCCCTCCTCCATGTGTACAACAAAAACCCCCATGTTCCTTGCACCATCATGTTCCAACAGACACAGAACTTTATGACAAGCAAGTTCTTGAAGACCTCAAGACAGCAATAAAGACAAGACTCAGCATTCAATTTACAGACTCGGATAATCAAGATTCTTTAAGCTTAGGTTAGTATTTCTCAGATCGCTTATCACCTACCAATCTTCTTCCTAACCATTCATCATCACAAAGACCACTGTGCAGTCGTCCTTAAAGCACTTCAACATCCTCAAGCCAATACAATTGTAGGCTGATTTATACTTGTCGTAGATTAATCTTTACCATGATCTGAGGTCATCGCCAATATTACGCCTGCAGAATACGCAGCAGTGGTAGCATTTACGTCGGAAGAGCGAGATTTCAAAGCCAGAGCAAAGTGAACCTCAGAGTAGTAATTGAGTTGTAATAATACACTGATCACATCCCATCTCTTACTACAGATTCGTCTACTTTGTGGATACTCAAGATCTTCATATCATGCCCCCACTTCCCGTCCACAAACAACCAGCTGCACACCTTGCGAAGGCTGTCAACAAGTTCATGGAAGCCATCCCTTACGACAAACTACTGATCGACATCACTATGCACCTCAATCACCGTATCCAAAACAAGGACTCCACGAACATTCCAGACCTACACCTCACCATCACAGCACAACCACCGGAGGATATGGAGTCAGATGAGATGGCGGTAGCAAAGCCAGTTTCCAAATGGGTTGGAGAATGCAGGCTTTCCTCGGATATGAACTGCATGGTGCGCAAGCTGAGCATCACATGCGACAGTCATCAAGACATCGATTATGCTATCATCATATCCTTCAAAGAGCGAGCCAAATGGCAACAGCCTAAAGAAGACAACATCACTGCCCAACAAGTTCGCTCGGCTCCTGCATTGGATTATGAGGAGTTCATCCCTCCCTGCATCAAGAAAAGCTTGAGGTTTGGACCGGTGGAGCTCAAGTCTCATATCTGGATCGATATCTCTGAGGTCCGCTACACCGTGTATAAGCGTGGCACAGACGGTCGCTTTGATTTTAACAACAAGAACGCTGCTACATTCGCAGAGGGGGTGCGTGTATATTCATCTTATTAGTAGTACTACTTTCTGATCTCAACTCGCCCCCTGCAGACCCTTTACCCTACGTTGCAGATGGATGACGTTGAATGGATGTTGAGTGACGCTACTGAGAATTTAAAGGCATATATCATATCATTGATGGAGGGTATGGCGCTTGAGGAGGCTGCAATTCAGAGCGCGCATGATTCCCATCCTGTTTTCGAGCCTGTTTGGATGGCAGCTCTCAACTCTATCTCTTCCGCGATATACCTCACAGCTTACTGCCGCTACTTGGATTGGCACAACCATAAATACAACAAGTGAAAGATGATGCACGTCGATGTTTAATCCTCAAACTCCAGCACCCAACCAACAAGTACTTCATTCTCATCGATTCTGACGACTTCCTCATCCGATGCGACGGTCTCATCCTCTGCTGGGTTATCGCTTGATGTGCAGCCGGAGCGCTCAGCAAAGAAGTCAAAGATCCAGCCTGAGGGAAAGTGTGAAGAGTCTAAGGCGAAACCAAAGAAGAGGGAGAATGGGAAGGGGAAGGGTCGTTAGTAGGCTCTTGCCGTGTCGATTGTTGAGGTGAGTGTCTGTCATTAGACTTGGTTTCCTCGAACACTGACAATTTACATGATCAGTACTAGTACTTAGTTCCATCTTCGCTTGTTCTGTTGCGCTGCTCTTCAAGTTTGAATTCACTATCTTGTTGATCTCCTCGTTGTTGTCATCCATGTCGCATTTGTTCTTGTACTTCTAGGACCGCACAAAACATACTACTCATCTAGATACCACACACGTAGTACTATGGATGTTTCTCGCTGAATGTACCGTGATATTCGCGTACTAGCAGTATGCCTAATTTGTCACATCACGTTTAACCACTGCCAGTGAGTCGGTGTGACTCGGGAAAATTTGTTAACAGCACAACTTGAAAGAGTCTTGAATGTCCTCCAGTGCCCAACTTGTGACAGCCTCGTCTCTTAGAGGGATTTCACTCGATTGAAGACACTCGCATCATGATGAATCCCAGACCCATCCAGCACAACTTGAAGCAATTCACGGAACGCTTGCGCTGGTACCACCAAAGTCAATACTACTAGCAGGACCTCCCCCTAAGGTCTCCAACCTGAGCACAGATGGACAAGTCGTGAACAGCACGTCATCCATTCAATCACACCCATCGACCATTCACCACACCCCGTCCTCGTCCATCTATCAGGCTCAGGCTCAACATACGTCTACTACTATCCCAGTACCCACTACTACTATGCAAAGCATCTCGCACCTTAACTGGAAGTGCGTTGGAACTCCCAGGGCTATTGGTGCTCTGCGAAACCGATCCCCTGCATTATTGCGTCACTTGGCCATGCCAATTGTTGTGCATTCTGCTACTAGTAGGTTGAACGTGGACAAAAAACTCCCATCACCTATATTCCCGATAACAACGGAGCCAAACTCCGACTGCGAAGACAGCGATAATGTAAGTTCAACGGTACCCATACAGATCCAAATGATAATGTTGCCCAGGAATCTACTAACTCCAATGACACCCGGGCTAGTGAGGAATTCAAGGCCCAGCTTGTTTTGAATGTGACCCGAGCACAGTGAGATGTTTGCCTGGCGGAGAAGACGCTTGCAGACTCCGTTCTCAAGCAGAATGTCGCACTTGGGAAACTCTACGAGTTCGAGGCTACAGAAGCTGAGAGGAAATTGGAGGATGCTGATATCAACATTGGTTATGTACACCATTCGGTCCGCAAAAGTGGAATCACATTGTTGGAGGACTTTGCTAGTACTAGTAAACCTCGAAAACGCCGTTGCAAATCTACTAGTCATGTTGATAGTGATACGCTCAGCCCGGAAGTAGATTTAGCTCGCTCACCACCACTGGCAGGTAATTGTACTCTGTTAAATTCGTTCGACCACTTCTACTACTGACACTTTTTTATTCACAGGATCTCTGAGCGCGACTCCGAGTCAAACACTCGATTATGACGTGGTGTCCGATTCTTTGGGCTTCAAGTTGTGAAGCAGTAATACTAGTACTAGCCTCTATACTGTTCCGATTCCATGTCCCATCTACTACTAGTATTGTACATACTTTGAATCAATGTTTGTGAATGCCGGCTTTAAAAGTTGCTCTTCCTTCAAGTTTAAACTTAGACTCGGAGGTCATGTGTCACAACCAAGAGCTGGTACCAACTTCTCGAGTCGCTTGCTGTAGTGTGATGTGTGGTGCTATGTCGTGCTGTAGAAATTTTATATATACTGTCGTTGATCGCTACACATTGCTACAGAAGTCTGCACCTGCTGTAATATGCTGTAAGCCACCATGGTAACTGTGCTAAATTTAGTGTTTTGCTGATGAGCCAAAGTCGTAACATCTCAGTTTCATAAATGAATACTGAGATGTGAGTTGTTGTCCCACTGTAACGTTTGAGTAGAGTACTGACGTACAAGTAGATTCATACCTGTTTAGGTACAACATTTTGTTAATAGAGTTTCATAAACAAATACTGAGATATTCATACCTGTTTAGTGTGTTGCGAAGCCTCCCGCTCGTATTGATTCTCCACAGGTTATGACCCCTGCCTCGACCATGGACTTGTCTGCTCCCAGTGCCAACTCAAGCCGTTTTAACATCCTGAAGCTTGCCGAAGACGGCTCGAACTGGATAACCTACAAGGAACAGACGTTAACAGCAATAGGCACACGAGGACTCACGAGATATACCAATGGTCGAGCTATAGAGCCTACGCCTTTTGTAAAGAGCTCTACAGGGGTTGTTACGAAGCCAGATGGTACAACACCTACGCAAAAGGAGATTGATGACCTCAATGCGAAGACTGACGAGTATCAACAAAAGAACTCACTCGTAAAACAACAGATCTTCTGCACGATCACGGATCGGCTCCTGTTACGAGTCCAAAAGTTAGGATCTGCGTCCGAAATCTGGAAAGAAATATGTCAAATTCATGAAGGCAAAACAGAACTCGTCCAGATAGATCTGAGACGAGGTGCGAAGAAGGAGGGGACGTGAAGGCGCATTTTGCTGAGCTTTTGCGCCTGTGGGAGTCTCTAGCTGGAATGGGGGTCACCGTCGTTGATGCAGACTTCCATGCTATAATTCTAGGGTCTCTGCCTGAATCCTACCGGCCACTTCTCTCATCCATGAACACAGCCACTAAGATCACCAAAACACCTCTATCTCCCTATGAACTCATCACAATTATCACCGAGGAATACAAACATTGGTTACTCACTGACAGACGTCCCAACAAAAGGGGAATGAACAGTGCGCTCTCTGTGAGAACAAACCCGGGGAGGAGCAGGAGCTCTCAGAGCTCACCCCCACAGTCCAACCCCAACGCACTCTGTACGAACTGCGATCGCAAGGGACACTGGAAGAGTGACTGTTGGTGAAAAGGAGGAGGCAAGGAGGGTCAGGGGCTGAATCAGTGGCAAAGACAAGGAGGACGCACCCAGAAACACAGTGCCAATGCAGCCAAGGAGCTGGAGGTAAAAGATAATTACACTT